TGTGAAACCACTGTCGGGAAAGAAACAGCCTCACCCATTCATAAATTTACCATTGTTCAGACACACAGACTGTTATTTTATGTCCCATGTGTGTATGTTTGATTTGATAGATGATAAATTGTGAATGGGAAGCAGAATTTCAGTTATATGTATGTAGCAATAACAGTCAAATACAGTAGACAATAGTTTGAACCAAACTAAGCGCAACTGTCAAGCGTCAACAACTTTTGTTAATGTAATAAATACAGACGCAGTTGTGTAAAAAACATGTCTGGCACGATCTGAAAAACAAGATCATATCTAATTACATTAATCAATGTATTTACCAGTTATGAACAAAATCTGTATGTGCAAGACAGAGATCGGGACGACAAACAACGTACAATTACCAGATGACGACAGGTCCAGTCAACCTGTGAGCTTTGCTCGGTCATCAAAAAAACTACCAGCAAATAAATAATAAATTAAAAGAAATTTAAAGATCAAATAGAAAAAGATAAAAATAAGTAATTGAAAAACATATTTAAAAAAATAAATAAAAAAAGCCCAAACTAGAATCTTATTTTAATCAGATTGGTACATGTATAATGCCATACAAATGTGAGGAGAATGTAATCTGTGGAGATATATCATTGCAGGATTGCCAACATCCTGTCTGGACTATACAGTGTAAGTACATAGTACCGTAGCAACATAACAATTTATTTGAGTTGATCTAAAATCAAAATTTTGAGGAAATTAAAAAAATAGCTATATGCTAAGCATATATATTATTGAAAGGTTGGTCTCATAACACAGGGGCTCTTTATACACAGGTTGTTCACATATATGCCTTGGGACTGTCTAAACATAGTCATTATAGACAGGTGGTCACTAATATAGGTTTAACTTTATCAAATTTAACTGTCAACTGTTAAAATGATGTTAACTGTTTTAACATCACTATAAAAACACTTTAAAATTTGCCACCAGCTTCCACAGACATATCAGAATTGAAGCGAGAGAAAAGGAGTCTGCAATCAATGTGTGTTAACACACATCCTTAGAACTGAATGCTACAGGAATTACACATGAAGTAAAATATGTTCATGGGTGACAGTAAACACGTTATGACTCATACTCAAGTCAAGTCAGACAGCATATTAATGAGACCCGTTGATATAATAAAGTTTTCCTCAATTAGAAGGAATGTTAAAAATATTCCTGATTTCATTGGCCATCCACGGTATGGTTATTATAGGGTGTGACTGGGAAACATTCCAGGCATGAAAACTAATACTGGCATTAATTCCTATCCTGTTTACACAAGAGCTATGACTAAATGATTAAATTTCATTCATATGTGGATGATTAAAGAGTATATTTGCTACTTTGGAAGGAAAGAGAGAAACATAACATTAGGGTGTTTTCTGTTAAAGTTCTTGGCATGGATTAAATAGAATCAGTGTGACTCCATGTCTTGAAGACCCTGACCCTAGTGTATACTTTACTGCTACAAAATTTGGGATTCCCACCAATTGGGTGTCAATACATACTTAGAATTACTTTGGATTTCATGTGGATTGTAGGTAATACACTTTAACATCACATTATTCTAGTAAGGCTCAAAAAAAAAACTAGTTTCTCGTAAATTCGTTTTTCCATTTTTACTAATATAAATAATAAAATTGTTCTTTAATTTTTCTTTTGTTTTTCTTAAACAATGACAAAAAAGTCTTAGATATGATTACCTTCACCTGATATTTTCAATCATTGCCTCAAAATAAAATTATCATCGTTGTTCAATATTTCAATATTTTTAGGTTTCACAATATAATTAGAATGTTCTGAAAAGCGACCAAATCTATCCAAGTTCTTTCATCTTTCAAATAACTGTTTCCTATGGACCTGCATTGTACAATGTATTTCAAATCATTTTAATCAATGTGTTACTTGTACAAAACATCCACGCCTGAATTTGTTTTCAAAATAGATGATCTGGTGAGTGAATTGTGTGTGAGACTAATTCAATTTCAATTTTGAGACATATATATACTGTGATAATTTATTGTTGCAATATGCAAGACTGAGTGTAAAATAGCTTCAATTTTTCATTGACGTCCATCATTGTAGAATACATGTACATGTATATACCGGTAACACACATGGAAATACATGTACCGGTAGTACAGTTTACAAATTTAACAAGCCATGCATGGCACAGTCCCCGTTAGTTATCAAATTTAAGATATATAGTTTTGTTTATAGTAATATAGCTGGAATATAACCATGTCAGGAATATGATTTTTTTAACATTAAAATGATTGACATTTGTATCTGATCGTCAAACAAGTACTTGTCTATATTGAGAGATATTGCTCTGGAACAGCATTCAAAATCAGCCATTTTGAATACATGTATATATCTATAACATGATGTATACGAATATATAAAATTTGAATATAATCAGTCAAAGAATTTAAGTGATATGGCTCTAGAAGCCCAAACATTAAAACAAAATGGCCGCCAGTCAGCCATTTTGAATCCAAACTGAAAAATAAAATGACGTGCATCAGGAACCTGTAATGTCTGATGTATGTTAACAGTTTGAACAAAATCCATCCATAAATGCTTGATATTTGAGAATTTTTTAGCACAAAAATGCCCACCATTTGGCCACTTTGAAAAA